TAGCTATAGGGGGCGTTGTGGGATTTCATTTGACGTTTAGAGTTGTCAAGGGATATTTGGTGTGGATTCGTTCTGCCTTGACACTTCCTTCGTCTTCGTCAACATCCCCATCCGTCCCCTACTGACCCGTCCCCCCACCCCGACCCCTCACCGAACCCCATTGACCCCTCCTCCACTCCCACTGACCCCTCCCCACCTCCCATTGACCCCTCCCCACCTTCCACTGACCCCTCTCTAATCCCTATTGACCCCTTCCCCGCTACCCCACTGAACCCCCCATACCAGATCACATATTTCACAGTTTGGCAAGTCAATGAATTTTATACATATGTACACACTAGGGCGTCTTTCACACACACACACACACACACACACACACTACTATTACTACTAAATATTTACTACTATTACTACTTTTTTTTATTAATGGCTTCCAGCCTCCCCCAATAGCCACACCTTCGCCACCATTTTATTACCTTAATATTAAATATCCTAATACATAAGTAGCTATCCTATCTGTCTTGAGTTAGTTGAGCCGCAGATCTATGCGGCATTCAGTGACTGTAGCCTCATAGTCAATATCTGCAACTACTACTACTACTACTACTACTACTACTACTACTACTACTACTACTATTCCTTTGCTGTCACTCTGAATCGAGTATGACAATCATCCGGCCACGATACAATGATATGAGTTATTAAAGATGCCACCTTCGTTGTTGAGCTCTGAGGTGACTCGAGTGGCCGATACGGGGCTACTTCTAATGAGGGGAAGGGCGGCGGCAGCGTCTTTCCGGCATTGGAGCTTGTCTGCCTCGGTTTGCAGTCGGGCTAACTCGAAAGTATTGACATTTTCTTGTGTGGTGCTCTTCCAAGCGTTCCGGTGTGGAGTGATCGTCTCCCAGGTGAGGGGTCGATTTGACGCTTTTTCAGGTTTGTCTTAATACTATCTTTATAACCTTTTCAGTTGCCCACCAGCGTTACGTTTACCAAACGTTAGGTGACTGTAAAGAAGCTGCTTTGGAAATCTACTGTCGTCCATGCGGGTAACATGGCCAGTCCAGCGAAGTTGTTCATGGGTAAAGGTAGCCTCAATGCTCTTACAGTCTCGCTGCCACACAATAGGGTGGGAAGGACCACTGTTCGATACGCGTGCATTTTTGTAAATAATTGCAGCTTCCTACAGCTGAAGACACGGGTACGGAGTCTGCCACAGGCTTGAGATGCATATCTCATCCAATGTTGAATCTCTTCGTTAATGTCTGCGGTGGTGGACAGGTGGAAGCCAAGGTACTGAAAGTGGGTAACATTAGAGAGGGTAGTACCGTTAAGCTGGATGGATGGTGGAGGTGTGGCTGCGTTGGTGTTCAGGATCTCTGATTGAAACGGCCGACACCTTTGTTCCTGCCTGGAGTCGTCTTATGTTGAAAAGTCCTTTCGTCCGGTACTGGATGTCCACCCCGCTGGCTAAATTGGCACTGGCACGAGTAAGGAAGGCAGCCAAGAAAATGGAAAAGAGAGTTGGTGCCAGTACACATCCTTGTTTTACCTCCGTTTGGATGGGAAGAACTCAAACTGGGTGCCACTGTGCAGTGAACTGCCGTTCGTGGATTGGGTCCGCCGGAGAGCTTCCCTGCTGATAAAGTGGAAGACCTTAGTAAGGTCGACAAAGGCCATGTACAGGTCACGACGCTGTTCTCTGCACTTTTCCTGTATCTAGCGGGCTGCAAAGATCATGTCAGTGGTAACACGTGATGGTCTAAAGCAACATTGAGATTCTGGGATGAAGTTTTCCGCCTTAGGAAAAGGCTGTTTAGTAGGACTCGGGCGATAATCTTGCCAGCTACGGACATCAGCAACCGGTCTCCCTTGTTTCTATAAATATTGACAATGGAGATGTCTATAAGAGCTTGGGGGATTTCCTCCTCCTCCCATATATTCTCCAGGGTTGAGTGGAGAAGTCTGGTAAGCAGAGGTCCTCCTGCTTTATACACCTCGGCTGGGATTCCATCAGGCCCTGAGGCTTTGTTATTTTTCATCTTTTTAATGGCAGTAGCTACCTCATCACGGGATGGAGGATAGCAGAGGTGGGTCAACTCTAGATGCTGAGGGACCTGCTGGGTAGTCAGAACATCCACATCGGTGATTCGGTTGATTAGGGAGATGGTAGTGCTCCTTTCAGCTCTGACGGATGCCTTCTTCGTTTTTAATTAGGGAGTTACCGTTGGGTGAGTGAAGGGGAGGCCGCGCCATGAGTAGCTGGGCCATATATTGTCTTAGCGGAATTGAAAAATTCGCGCATCTTGTGTTGATCCGCAAATTTTTCCACCATTCGTCCTTTAGATTACGAAGTTTGCACTTGGCCATCGCCGTATTCCAATGGAAGGTATCAGCTTTGATCGGAGACTGAGGGTTGTTCGTCCACTCAGTGAAGGCAGCACGTTTACTATTGACGAATACATTGATTTCCTGGTATTTTCACCAAACCAGTCCTGCTGGTGTATTCTTTCGACCTGGCCGATGGTCTCGCTGCAGGTTTTTGTGATGACAGCATCGAGGATATCCCATTCGGTGCTCGGGTTTTGGTTATTTGTTGTTGAGTTGTTTATCAGCCCATCATTGAGCTGCTCTCTGAAAGCATATTCTACCTCTTGATCCTCAAGTCGTTTGGTGTTGAAGCCTCTTTGGAGGGTTGTTGCCTTCGCCGTTTTGGGGCGACGTGGAGGTAGATCTAGGCACTGACGAGTCGATAATCTGTGTCATAGTGGTCTGAGCCACGCATGGCATGGGTTATGAGGACTTCTCTGCGATGTCTTTCTCTGACAATGATGTAGTCAATGAGATGCCAGTGTTTGTATCGTGGGTGTTGCCACGAACACTTGAACTTGTTGGCCTGCCTAAACAAGGTGTTGGTGATAGTGAGGTTGTGTGCAGCACACTTGCTGAGGAGGAGTAGGCCGTTGGGATTACATTTATACGTTCTGTTAGCATCTCTACCAACCCTGGCATTGAAGTCACCTAGGAACACACACACACACGTACCAAAAAAAACAGCATCGTATCAACTATGAAACCTTGATACGAGCCGTGAACACCAACTAACTCCCTAAACTAAGAACACTGTGAGATGTACCGGACTGTGGTACAGCATCAAGACAATGGTACTCACTCTTAGTGCTGGGCTGTCATTGGTCAAATTGCCTTTCATCAACCATTGTTTATATACCAACACACCAGTATAGTGCCGTGGTGCCCCCAACACACCAGTATAGTGCCGTGGTACCCCCAACACACCAGTACAGTGTCATGGTGCCCCAACACACCAGTATAGTGCCGTGGTGCCCCCAACACACCAGTATAGTGCCGTGGTGCCCCTAACGCACCAGTATAGTGGCGCTTAGTGCCCCCAACACACCAGTATAGTGCCGTGGTGCCCCAACACACCATATGCCGGGTGCCAGGGGTGCCCCTAACGCACCAGTATAGTGCCGTGGTGCCCTAACACACCAGTGATATAGTGCCGTGGTGCCCCCAACACACCAGTATAGTGCCGTGGTGCCCCTAACGCACCAGTATAGTGCCGTGGTGCCCCTAACGCACCAGTATAGTGCCGTGGTGCCCCTAACACACCAGTATAGTGCCGTGGTGCCCCCAACACACCAGTATAGTGGCGCGTGGTACCCCCCGGCGGCGGAGGTTCGGCTTGAAGAGGTCAAGTCTAGAGAGTGGAGGCGAACCCTGGCCTTACTACTCCTGCTGATCGATTCGCTGAACACCCCAAGTCTTGCACGCTCCAGCCCCTGTAAATAATTGTGCAGAACGCAGGGTGGTTGGGTGGGTGGGTGGCGGTTCTTGAGGTGGTTGTGGTGGTTAGATGGGTGGGTACGAGAGAGATATGGATGGATGGATAGACGGATGAATGAATGAATGAATGAATGGGTAGTAGAGAGATTTGTGTGGAAGGATGGAATAAGAAGAAAAAGGTATATATATGTTTGAATTCCTGGGTGCGGTTCTTTGGGCAGTTGTATGTGAAAGAGAGAGAGAGAGAGAGAGAGAGAGAGAGAGAGGTTATTGCTATGGTTGTGAAATAGAGACAGGTAACCCTCTGTGGATGGCGGTTATAACTGTAAAAATTATTGTATGATATTTTAACCTTTTGAAGATTATGAATTAGACCATTATCATCCTCAAAGGGTTAAATCGGCGCCTTCAAAGGGTTAAACTGTCGTCGTAAAAGGGTTAATACAACCTATTCAAAGGGTTTAGTTATCAGTATTATATTTAGAAAACTCTCCACAATCAATGTTTTCAAATAAATTACATAAACCGTATATTTATATTCCATTTGTGGTTATTATTATTATTATTATTATTATTATTATTATTATTATCAATATTATTACTATTATTATTATTTTTATTATTATTATTATTATTATTATTATTATTATTATTATTATTATTATTATAATATACACCTTTGCCGCATTGCTCTCCTATATTTACAAAAGTTTCACAAAATTTCAATCTATCGTATGCAAATTCTCTCTCTCTCTCTCTCTCTCTCTCTCTCTCTCTGCGTCCTCCACACTAAACAACTTTCTAAATAAATTATTTTGCTGGTTGTCTCTATACACGCGAGCTCTCATCTCTAATTTCCTTTTTTACTTTCTCTTTCTCTCCTTTCTCCAGTATTTTCCCCCCAGTCCTCCTGTTACGACTTTCTTTCACGGCGTGTGATTATCCTGGTTCGTCTCTCCCACCAGCTATTTCACGTATAAATCCCTGGGTTAATTAATCCCCTGAAATGTACCCAGAACTTAATCTAACCTATCCTACCATAACCTGACCTACCATCAACCTACCATAACCTGACCTACCATAACATGACCTACCATAACCTAACCTTACCTGACATAAACATGATAAAACATGTACATTAACTTCACACAGATAAATAATTCGTGTCTCTCCCTCTGTGTCTCCCCGCGCAGGTGAAAAGCCTCTTCCTACAGTGGTTACCGTGGGTGCTGCGGCTGCATCGACCGGGGGAGAAGATCACCCGTAAGACAATAATGATGAGCAACAAGATGAGAGAGCTGGAGCTGAAGGTACGGCAAGAAGTAAGACATTGCTCACTCTTTTATTGACAGTGTGTGTGGTGGTGTTGGTAGGTACAGTGTACAGTGGCCGCTGCTCCTAGCATAGGTAGTGAGGGACATCTGTACTGTACTGTAGGAAGGGAGGTGTCTATATGTATGTATATATCTGTATATTTATTTATATATATATATATATATATATATATATGTATGTATATAATAATAATATGTATATATATATATATATATATATATATATATATATATATATATATATATATATATATATATATATATATATATATATATATATATATATATATATGTCTGTGTTTTTTGGTGTTAGAAAGATGTGTAATAAATGTGTTTTGGTGTTTAGAGGAGAGGTTCATTATGTGTTAGAAGGTCTGAGTGTTGAAGGTAGATTAATTGAGGGTGGAGAGTGACACAAATGTGTGTGTGTATATATATACAGTGTATATATATATATATATATATATATATATATATATATATACCTATATATATATAATGTGTGTGTGTGTGTCAGTGTGACGTTTTACTTGTACGTCAGCACTGTTGAGAGTTTTAATTCGTCTTTGTGTGTGTGTACGGGTTGTGTGTGTACGTGTGTATGTGTGTCTCGGGTTGTATGTTTTGTAGGTGAGTTTGTGGTCAAAAGTGTGTGTTTACTGCAAGCAGCTGAGTGAGGGTGTGTAGTGTAGTGTTTCACAAACTAATTATTACCATCAGTGTTATAATAAATGATGTTAACAGTTAGTGGTACAATGAATGATGTTAGCTGTTAGTGGTACAATGAATGATGTTAACAGTTAGTGGTACAATGAATGATGTTAACTGTTAGTGGTACAATGAATGATGTTAACAGTTAGTGGTACAATGAATGATGTTAACAGTTAGTGGTACAATGAGTGATGTTAACAGTTAGTGGTACAATGAATGATGTTAGCTGTTAGTGGTACAATGAATGATGTTAACAGTTAGTGGTACAATGAATGATGTTAACTGTTAGTGGTACAATGAGTGATGTTAACAGTTAGTGGTACAATGAATGATGTTAACTGTTAGTGGTACAATGAGTGATGTTAACTGTTAGTGTTATAATAAATGATGTTAACAGTTTATGGTACAATGAATGATGTTAACTGTTAGTGGTACAATGAATGATGTTAACTGTTAGTGTTATAATAAATGATGTTAACAGATTGCGGTACAATGAATGATGTTAACAGTTAGTGGTACAATGAATGATGTTAACAGTTAGTGGTACAATGAGTGATGTTAACAGTTAGTGGTACAATGAATGATGTTAGCTGTTAGTGGTACAATGAATGATGTTAACAGTTAGTGGTACAATGAATGATGTTAACTGTTAGTGGTACAATGAATGATATTAACTGTTAGTGGTACAATGAGTGATGTTAACTGTTAGTGGTACAATGAATGATGTTAACAGTTAGTGGTACAATGAGTGATGTTAACTGTTAGTGGTACATATAATGATGTTAACTTTCAGTGGTACAATGAATGATGTTAACTATTAGTGGTACAATGAATGATGTTAATTGTTAGTGGTACAATGAATGATGCTAACAGTTAGTGGTACAATGAGTGATGTTAACTGTTAGTGGTGCAGTGAGTGATGTTAACAGTGGTACAATGAATGATGTTAATAGTGGTACAATGAGTTAAGGTGACAGAGAGAAGGTGGATTATAGTGTTGATCATATAGTTAAAGAGGGTATTATAAAACAAGTATGGATGCTCTGCTTTTGTTTACATTGCTTTTGGGCCAGTGGACGGAGCCATGTTGGAGTGGGTGGAGTTTATTGGAGTGGGTGGAGTGTGCCAGTGTGGGTGGAGCTTGTCGGAGTGCGTGGAACTTATCAGAATTGGTTGGTGCTTATCAAAGTGTCTGGAGCTTATCAGGTGGTGCTTGTTAAAGTGGATGGAGCTAATTAGAGTGGTATGGAGTAAATCAAAATGGGTGGAGCTTATCAGAATGGATGGAGCTTATCAGAATGGATGAAGCTTATCAGAATTGGTTGGACATTATAAGATTAAATGAAACTTGTCGGAATGAACTTACGTATAAATGATGATAAACCTTTTGCTAACTTTAGTTTATGCTCATTAAACGCTTGATTAGTGTTCAAATTAGTACAGTACTTAGGGATACAATAGTAGGTCAATAGATACATATTTAGTCTTTGTTTGCTAGTAATTATCTGTAGACGACTGGAAAGCGGCTGTAGCTACTTCAGGTGTAACTCTTAATTAAACTTTCTCCAGGTGTTTTTGTATTATTGTTATTATTATTTCAAGTGTTTTTAAGAGATAATTAATATGATAAACATTAATGGGTGTCATTATATTAGTGACTATCGACGATACAACCTGGATTAATCACAATAATCACAAACACTGATTTAACAACACGACAAATTATCCTATAACCTGGTTTAATTATATATACCTACAAGGGGATAAATATGAAGTAACAAAAACAAACTAGCAATAGTAGAAGATAAATAAACAATGGGGTAGTTATAATGAGGTGAGGATGTACTAGCAACACCAAACAGTAACGCTATTTAGGGTAGACAACATCATTATTTTGTTCCTCAATCTTCATCCACACTTGTCACACACCTCAAGAGTCACTGTGTATTGGGCATGGGTCAGTTTAGGCCGACCAGCAACACCTAGGAAGAACGACACCTCTCAGTGAACCAGTGAGGAAGGAAAGGTATTTAGATAGCTGGTAGAGGGAAGGTGAGGTGTGAGGGAAGGTGAGGTGTGAGGGAAGGTGAGGTGTGAGGGAAGGTTGAGGTGTGAGGGAAGGTGAGGTGTGAGGGAAAGTGAAGTGTGAGGGAGGTGGTGTGGGGAAGGTGAGGTGTGAGGAAGGTGAGGTGTGAGGAGGTGAGGTGTGAGGGAAGGTGTGGTGTGAGGAGGGGTGAGGAGGTGTGAGGGAAGGTGAGGTGTGAGGTGGGGTGTGTGAGGAAGGTGGGAGTGTGAGGGGAAGGTGAGGTGTGAGAAGGTGGGGTGTGAGGTGGGGTGTGAGGGAAGGTGAGGTGTGAGAAGGTGAGGTGTGAGGGGAAGGTGGGGTGTGAGGGAGAGGTGAGGTGTGAGGGAAGGTGAGGTGTGGGGGAGGTGAGGTGTGAGGGAAGGTGGGGTGGGGAAGGTGAGGTGTGAGGGAAGGTGAGGTGTGAGGGAAGGTTGAGGTGTGAGGGAAGGTGAGGTGTGAGGGAAAGTGAAGTGTGAGAATCACCAGTACAGGTCGTGGGACACTGGAACTCCAACACAGGTAGTAGAACATAGGGGTGGGACACCAACACATGGAGTGGGACATCAACACAAGGGGTGGGACATCAACACAAGGGGTGGAACAGAAACAAAAGGGGTGGGACATCAATACAGGTTGTGGGACATAAGGGGCGGGACACCAACACAGGTAGTGGGACATAAGGGGCGGGACACCAACACAGGTAGCGGTACATAAGAGGCGGGACACCAACACAGGTAGTGGGACATAAGAGGCGGGACACCAACACAGGTAGTGGGACATAAGAGGCGGGACACCAACACAGGTAGTGGGACGCTGCAGTTACCAATCAGAGTTGCCAACGATTCCGAGCGAACAGCCTTTGTAACGCTGAGTACAGAAATGAGTCAACCACTCCCGCCGCGCCACACCCCAGTTGTGTCATACCTACCGCACCCCAGTCTGTGTCACACCTGCCGCACCCCAGTCTGTGTCACACCTGCCGCTCCCCAGTCTGTGTCACACCCCGGTCTGTTTCATACCTACCTCACCTCGGTCAATGTCACACCTGCACCCCCCGGTCTGTGTCACCTGCCACCCCCGGTCTTTCACACCTGCTGCAAACCCAATCTGTGTCACACCTGCCTCACCTCGGTCTACGTCACACACCTGCCTTACCCCGGTCTGTGTCACACCCCGTTCTGTGTCACACCTGCCCAATCTGTGTCACTGCCGCAACCCAATGTGTGTCACACCTGCCTCACCCCGGTCTATGTCACACCTGCCAGAACCCCGGTCTGTGTGTCACACCACCTCACCTCGGTCTGTGTCACACCTGCCGGGCCCCCGGTCTGTGTCACACCTGCCTCACCCCAGTCTATGTCACACCTGCCTCACTGGTCTGTGTCACACCTGCCTCACCTCGGTCTGTCACACCTGCCTCACCCCGGTCTGTGTCACACCTGCCTCACCTCGGTCTGTCACACCCTCACCCCGGTCTGTGTCACACCTGCCTCACCCCGGTCTGTGTCACACCTGCCTCTCCCCGGTCTGTGTCACACCTGCCTCACCTTGGTCTGTCTCACACCTGTCTCACCTCGGTCTGTCACACCTGTCTAACCTCGGTCTGCGGCACACCTGCCTCGCCCTGGCCTGTGTCACACCTGCCTCACCCCGGTCTGTTGAGGAAATGACTGGTTAATTAGGCCCCATTTAAACTTAATACCTAACCTAACCTAACCTCACTTAACCAATAACCAAACTTAATCTAACTTAAGCAAACAACCTAATTTAATCTATTTTAACCAAATTACTAAAAGTAACTTAATCTACCAACCTAACTTACTCCAACTTAATCTAACCTAACTTGCTCTAACTTAATCTAACCTAATTTAACCTTACTTGATCTAAATTAACCTTGCTTAACCTAACCTAACCCAACCCAACTTAATCTGAACTGATCTGGGCCTTAATCTTAATGGGTTAAGTGAGACCAAAGGGTTGGGTTAGGTTAGGTTAAGTTAAATATCCATTTTTAACGTAGAGTGTCCCTTGCAATTTGCTTTCGGCGGGTCTCCATAACACACGGAAGACTCGGGTTTCTAAGCATTCGACCGTAGATTTTTTGTTAATTCCGCGTTAATCCACAAATCTCGACCCAGCTGCCCAAACCTTGATGGTGTGACACGAACAAGTATGCTCCTCAACATCCTTCTCACTCAAAGCCTTTAAGAGTATTGTGTGGATGACCAATTCACCCGTTGGCCACACTAGTCACTTACAACTCAATATATATTAGTTATTTTCCTTTACATTCAAAGAAATTTTAATTATTCTTTGTAGATTTTGCGCGGATGTAAATTTCTGCGTGTCTATCTAGGCCAGAATAGGCAATGTAACCGACTAAGTAAACATAAACCAGCTAACATACACCTGTTATGGTGTTCGTCAGGAGTGGTTGATGACTCATTAATAATCCCGTCTACTTAATGTCTTCGTCTTTTAAATCCATTTGATCCAACAATTATTGTAAAAGAAATGAATACAATTACGTTTTTAATTAATTTCCTTAATCTAAATTAAAATAATAAATAATTGAGAACAATTTATAATGTTAAAACGCAAAATCATCCATCAAATATTGTCAATACACAGAGGATGTACTAAGAGACTGATCAAAAAGAGAACATTTTACCATTCAGTGTTGACATAGAGGACAACAGTTCAGTCTCTTATCATGGACACGATTACTGTCCAGCGAAAGTAAAATCGGTAAACTGCCTCCCCTTTAGCGAGTGTCCCTACCAGCTTGACGTAAGAGCCGATATATTTGGTCAAGTCTACAAGCCGACTACCGTGCCTCCTCCTAGAGATAATGGAGCCATAGTTCTGTTGTGATACCGTGATTTTTGCTGATATTTTTTGCCATTCAGGATTGAGCGCCACTCCGTAATCTCCACACACAAAAAGATTCAGGGGTTCGAGACTACGGTTTTAGACTTGACCAAGAAGTTAAACTCTGGCTTATAACCAGTAATCGCAGCGATGACCCAACGACTTTAATACCTCTTATGATTTCTTAACTGGAGTTCCCTGTAGACGTGTATGTAATATTCTCGAGGTTACTGCCCTTTATTACTTAACGTGGTATATGTTCTTATTAGCAGCATATGATACACTGGAGCATTGGTACAAGATAACCGTAAACTAAATTATAATGAAATCGCTGAGACGTATTTTACAGAAACGTTTACCCAGTGGTCGGTGGGTCTTAGAATGCACAGTAGATCACATGTTCACATTTTTTTTTCCTTTAGTATTTTTTTTTTTTAGATATTTGTAGTGGCAAGGTTATCTAATTGTAGTAGATTCCATAAATACTTCTCACTGGTTCATGATATTGGAATTATTGTACTTAAGAATTATTAACTAACTTGACACAATCATTGAGTGAAGATAATGTAGGGGGTGTGCCTCAGACATCAAGACATGGGGTCATTGATAAAGATGTCCAACCATGTCCTTACTTTGTTCTGAACGTTATTGGTCACTCTACGTGCATTTGTTTTTTTGTTTTTTTTGTAACCTAACCTAACTCTAAATTATACCAGGACATTGTGGTTTATCCTTCCAGAGTTTTGCTGGATGTTAAACTTTCGACTTTATACTGTAGTGTGTTTTTAAACCAACTTGGTGAATTCTGGGAGAGTCATGATATCTATCCCTAAGGGCTCTTGTTTCTTAAGCCCTAGCATGGTATTTTTCAGGGATATTTATTTTTTTTTTAATCTCTTGCGAAATGGTCGCTCACTTTCCATGTATAGGTACACTGTTAGACACTAGAGTGAACACCTTCCAAGATTGACGAAAGAAAGTCATTTTACTCTAGAAAAGCCAAAATTGTATAGATATGCATAGATATATTATATATTTACATATTTAACTCTACAAAGACTAGCAAATCATGTTTCCTTGTTAAGCTAATGAATAATTCTTTATTTGTATTTGTTTTAACCATCATGAATTAATTTCTCAGTAACCAAAGAAAGATTTTAGATTAAAACACAAGAATTATAAAACATTGTCGAGAAATTCAGACCATTACGAGTCAATATCCTCACATCTGTATTCCCAAGTTAACGGCCCCTCTGTTTACAATTCGCCTCTCACTGGAACTTCCGTTTGGACAGTGCCCCTTGGAGGTAAGAGCTTTTATGCCAATGTCATTCTGCGTTTACATGAGATACATATAACATAGTTCATCTTGTTTACATTTTGTTACTGCTTCACTTGAACGTCCATTGAGAGGTTTTTAGAAGCATAGGCTAAAGTATTTTTTTTTCTGTGCATTCTTAAATAAAACTCCATCAAGACATCTGAATATTTCTTTATGACCGTAACTGCAGCGCCCCCTTTATATTGCACTGTTTTTTGAGAAAGACACCTCAGCTGGCAAAAATGGCATAGCAGCCTTCTGTATCACTTTGTACCCTCTCTGTATCCTCCCTTGAAGGACCTCTCAGCAAGCACTCGTCACTCGTAGTTAGAGATTTTCCTCAGTGACCTTCTTGTCTTTGGGCAGCTGTCAATATTGCCATTTGAGACTTGCACATCAGGTAGTGGCGTAGAGTTGGTCGAGAGTCACAGCGTCGTGTGGTGATTTTATGCCGAGGTGCACTTAGTGAAAAATTCCAAGGATATTCTTGTTTATTTCATGGAATCCTATATAATCAATTCAAAATCGTTTAACAAATCTATTTCTGACTAATGTAAAAGATCAGTGTTAGTGTTTGTACAATATTTGATCACGAAGAGTAAGATACATTAGACCTTTTCTTGTTGAGTCACCAATATAATATCATCATGTGTTGCCTCAGTCAGGACCATGCTGTTGTTCCTCACACCAGGGTTGACCAGACCGAGGCAGTATACCAGGCATCAGAACACCACCACCGACCTGCAAACAATAACAAAAGTGAGCTTTGTGTCTCACGTGGAGAAATATTTGCATCATCAACTGAACTTCAGAAGGTGTTGACCGGAATGCCACTTTTACTGAAATACAAAACTAATGAATCGATTCGAATGATGTATCGACGAATAAGGTTTCAGTGTGATTTTGTTTTTATTGACTCGTTTTAAGTTTATTTCAAGTTATGCGATTAATAACTTACGAGTATATACTGAAGATGATTATAAATTAATATTATAACGAGATTATACAAATGATATATAATTTTAACCAATTCTTCCTGTTGACAATACATCAAGATCATCTCGAGTACTGAACAGACACAAAAACAATCATAGAAAAAATACACAGAAGCACAAATTCATATAATGGTGAAAAACATAGACAAAATTGCCATAGAAATTAACACACGAATGATCACCCAAGACTAACACACGAACTTTCACCTCCCCCCAACACCATCCATCAACTGTTTTAAAAAAGAAAGTGGTATTCTTGACTCAACCTGAACTGCTGCTCAGTATATTTAATCACACATACTCAGGCTAGACGCAAAGCTCATGTTTGTTATTAACCATAAATGCATCTTCGGCCCAAATTCACAAGTTGATTAAATACATAGTTAATGAACGAGTATAAATCGTATGCCACTTGGCTGACATGAGATGGACTGGCAACACCGGCCTACTGTACTGTAGTATTGGTGCTCGTCACACCAATGGCTGCGGATATAGTCTCTTAAAAACTTATTCCGAGTTGGGGGTCAGCTCTACATGATTCACTTATAATTTATATCATTTGTCTTTATTTTTTATTTTTATTATCATGATCCGTTAAATATGTTATTATTACTATTATTATTATTATTATTATTATTATTATTATTATTATTATTATTATTATTATTGTTATTATTATTATTATTATTATTATTATTATCGTTATTATTATTATTATTATTATTATTATTATTATCGTTATTATTATTATTATTATTATTATTATTATTATTATTATTATTGTTATTATTATTATTATTATTATTATTATCGTTATTATTATTATTATTATTATTATTATTATTATTATTATCATTTTTAATTTCATTAGTAATAGTAGTAGTAGTATAAATAGTAATAGAAATATTATATTAATAGTAATTATTATCATTCTTATTACTACTAGCAGTAGTAGCTGTAGAAGTTGGAGCAATATTAAAATTATTACAATTATTTTTTAATATTATTATTTTTATTGTTATGAATGTTATTATTGCCAAAATTATTAGTCGTACGTTTAGTAAGTAGTAGTAGTAACAGTAGCAGTATTGTAAAGATGTACTGCAGTAGTACTAACCTGTTTTGTTATTATTATTATTATTATTATTATTATTATTATTATTATTATTATTATTTGTTTTATTATTATTATTATTATTATTATTATTATTATTATTATTATTATTATTAGCACATTCATAAAATTATATTTAATTCTATTCATGAAGTAATTGATTTAGTAATTGGTATAATGACTTTCTTTCACGTAGTATCTTTTAAAAGAGATAAATTATTTACTCTAATTTCATCACAATATATATATATATATATATATATATATATATATATATATATATATATATATATATATATATATATATATATATATATATATATATATATATATGTATATATATAATTTCTTGCTGGTGTTATGTTCATGAATGCTAAATTATTCGCTTTATATTTAATGTATCATCACATATAGTTATTACAGTTCATTAGTAATCTTTATTTGGCTTTAATTCAGAACTTCTCAAACATATTAACTGTTATTGTTTTTGTTAACACTTGCTATACACACATCTACCGGAGCTTATCACCTGTGTGTTTATTTGTCTCTCATTTCTAGTACGTTACTTGTGTAGACTTGTTTATTTCCTAGTGCTTTGGTTGACATGTAGTGAACATAGGTTCTTGGTAAAGTTGTGTGTGACGCAGTGCTGTACTGTAGGTGGTGAGTGAGGTGGTTAGTGGTGGTGAAGAGCCGGTAAGTACTGTAGCAGGGCGAGGCTAGACTACCTCTCTTTACTTCTTCACTACTGCTACTACTACTATTACTGCTATTACTACTATTACTACTACTACTATTAGTGTTAGAGCGGAAGATGATGTTGTTGTTAGTGGTGTTTGTAGTGAGTCTAGCTGCATGTTACTCTATCATCTCTTTGTTAATGATTCTTCATTAAATTTTCTTAGTATTCGACCCTTTTTATTTGTAAGTAGTATATATATATATATATATATATATATATATATATATATATATATATATATATATATATATATATATATATATATATATATATATATATATATATATATATATATATATATATATATATACTACAATGTGGTATCCACTTGCCACTGGATAAATTATGGTCGAAGGTGAAGTATAAAGTTTCGTTACACAAAAGGAAGAATTCTTGATTATTACATAAAAATCAGTTTTAAGTCATTTATGTCGTTGTTGTATAAAGAGTCAACAAGAGTCACTCCAGTTATCAAGAATCCTCCTCTTGTTTTGTACTGTACACAAGTAAAGTCTTCAATGTTTGCCACTCTTTGGTCCATCACTTAAGAGAAGCTTGAATTTCTCAAGAGTTATTAAGAGAATAACGAATTCACTAATCTGGTTTAAACAATGAGCGAGGTGATGGCCGCCCCTGGATCTGTTAAGTCTCCGTCATAAACCTTTCTTGATGACATCCTCAATTATTCTCCTTAACATAACTTCAGTAACTCTGTGTTGCGTCTTACTCCAGCGTTTGACACAAGCACCTGTGAACGCCTCTCACCTGCTGAAACACATCAATTATACCTAATCTTTTACAGTAATAGATTTCATATTAAACATCATAAACAACATAATTTTTTTCCTACAATTAACATCCATAATATTTGAATTGTTATAGAAATTAAAAGATAATGATAACAATGACTAATGTATATAAAATAATTATTAATATACACAACAACTAAAGGTTTATGACTGTACAATATCCTTTCATATAAATTCTCATAATATTAAAAGATCCTAAAATTTCAAAAATTATCACCGCAAAAAAAAAAAAATAAAAAAATAAAACCAAAAAAACCATTGAAATAAAATGTAAAAAAAAACCCACTATACATGAAAACAAACCACTCAGACCAAACGATCAGTGAGACATCAATATAAAACTCACCAACATTGATTTATCAGGTCACCTACCCTTAACCAATACCCACTGAGAGCTGCTGTCTCTTTTTTCCAGGAGAGATCGTCGAAATCGCTTTTGGCCAATGTGCTGGACATCGATGACGACTTCCGTGCCCATACTCTGCCTCACACCCACACCACCAATACCAACAACACGGCTGGGTATATCAGAGTGCCTCACGGTGGGCATTCGGTGGATGACTCTCACCTGGTACACACCTGTATGTCCTCGTGTACCAGGGAGCTTAACTTAATCCTCAAAGAGATCCGTGTTATTACCGACAAGATGAGGAAAGACGACGAGGATGGGGAGGTGAGTGATTGTCTTGGGTAAGGAGTGGGGAGGGGAGATGAGGAGAAGGTGTGTGTGTGTGTGTGTCTAGTGGTCAGAAATATAGACTATCCATGATATTGTGTGTGGATAGTGTGTGGATAATCAGGGGTGTATGTGGATATTCAGAGAGTGTGTGGATAGTCAGGGGGTGTGTTGATATTCAGAGTGTGTGGATAGTCAGAGAGTGTGTGGATAGTCAAGGAGTGTGGATAGTCAGGGAGTGTGTGGATATTCAGGGAGTGTGTGGATAGTAAGGTGTGTGGATAGTGAAGGAGTTTGTGGATATTCTGGTGTGTGTGGATTTTTAGGGAGTGTATGGATAGTCAGGGGGTGTTTAGATAGTCAGAGAGGTGTGGATATTCAGGGAGTGTGTGGATAGTGAGAAGGTGTGTGGATAGTGAGGAGGTGTGTGGATAGTTATGGAGTGTGTGGATAGTCAGGGGGTATGTGGATATTCAGGGGGTGTGTGGATATTCGGAGAGTGTGGATAGTCAGAGTGTGTGGATAGTCAGGAGAAGACTTAAGGCACAAGGGAAAGAAGGGGAAGGAGATGTGAAAATGTAAACTGTAAATAAATAGAGATAGAAACACGAATGAGAGGAAAATTGTAAATATAAATGAAGTGTAAATAAATCAACGACTTATGTATGTGAAATAAGGAAAGAAAATAAGAAAATAAGAAAGAAATCAATAGGTATAAGTAACAGATAGATAGAGGTAAGGATAACTGGGTATCTCTGAGGTGTTGTAGATCAGTCAGCATTCAGCATCATGCCTCAATCTCGGTCGACAATGTGCGGCCGCCCGAGTGTATCCTTATTCTATTTTATTCATGTAACTTGTATGACAAATGATTGAGTAAAGAAATACTTTTTAATTGTTTACATTGTGTGTGTGTGTGTGTGTGTGTGTGTGTGTGTGTGTGTGTGTGTGTGGGACCCTTCCTCATTAACCTGGCCTTTCTCACTACAGGTGGCGAACGACTGGAAGTTCGCGGCGATGGTGGTCGACCGTTTGTGTCTCATCATCTTCACATTCTTCACCATCACTGCCACCGTCGCTGTGCTCTTATCGGCTCCGCACATTATAGTTCCCTAATAATTAGCCAGCCGGATGAAGGATAAGTTGGATACGGTGGCGCGTGTGGTACGCCTTTCCTTGAGGTGTACCTTAAGCGCTGCTATTCCAACTGGGCTGTGTGGAGTAACGTCTCCATACAGTTCCATCATCTGGCTCTCGGTGTCTCTGTCTACAGTGCTTCAGCGCCTGTGGGTTGGTCTCTGTAAAGAGGTCAGCTCCAGGAAGCGAGGCGTGGACATCCCCTTCCTCGTTCTAGTCACGATGCTTCCATAAGTGCCAAAGGGGCCGGCACGTTCCCTGGCTCACGGCGACAGTGTGTCACACCTTCGCTCAAGCCCACGCCCTCGTGAGACTGCCATGGTCCTCCCACACGCCCACACCGGCCTCACATGGCACTAAACGCTCGCCTTAGCATCCACCCTCCCCCTCTCGCTGGCACACACTCACGCCCTGCCCTGCCTTCCCCTATGATCTTGCTGGGGGTGTAGCTAGGACTACCATGACCCACCGGCGGGACTGTGAAGCTTGGGCAACCAGCAGCTAAAGGGGCGCCGGCACGAAGATAGAAAAAAAGTGGAAGTGTGTGTGGAGAGGGAGCGGGAAGTGAGGTGGGCGGCAGGAGGCAGTGTGTGGAGGGTCGCGGTGGTACAACAGTGTATGTAGGGTCGGCGGCAGTGCAGGGTTCTCTCCAGCCATCGCCGTCTCCCGGAAAAGGGCTCCTCAGTGTACTACTTTCGCCACATGAATTATACGCCAAAAAAAAAATGTGCGCAGATCTGTACGCCGAGTACACACGTTTGCTCCCTTGCTCATGCGTCAGTATTATGTGATTCTGAGATTATTGTAAGCATCAAATAATTAATTACATACTTCTTTAAAATAACGTTTAAGCGTTATCTTCCTTTCTCTTAAGCTGTTGAAGCAAGTTGAGTCTCCATGCAATAATCTATACTTGCCTGGGAGCTGGCAGCGCGGCCCGGTCCCTCCCTCACCCCCACCCATCCCCCAACCCCTCCAGCCTCACCACTACCCAGCCCTCACACCGTCACAGCCCTTTTTCCCAGGCTTTTCCACAGATCTCTCTCACAGCTCTGGCCTCCAGTCTTCCTCCTCACTGCCAATCCCTTCCTACTCTCAGACCTATCCTAAATCCTAGTCACCACTATCCTCTTCCTTCTCCTCCTCACCTTACAAGTCTTCATTCCATCCTTAACCCAATCCTCACCCACCCCTCAACCTCTCCACCCAGCCTCAACCCTCCCCCACGCGTCACGCTACAAGCTCCTCGGCAAACACTTTCTGTTTCAAAGGCAGAATGTAGGTTTGTTCTCCCATTCTCGTGTTGATGTACATAAGCGTCTTTTTTGTATTATTTATCGACCTTAGGATGGTTAACCGAGTGGCTCATTTTATCTCCATTTACGAAAGAACAAATGACTCGCCATACATATATATATACATATATTAAATAAACTCTGACGAACTTAAGCAGCAAAACCAAAAATAAGGATTAGAGACTCATAACAAAGCTAGAGGATTAATATTTAACCAGAGTGTTTTAAGAAGCTGTTATTAAACCTGAAAACAAAACAAATGTGGATGTCATATCATATCATATTTTTTTGTTTACCCATTTTCTATGACCACCTAGTGACAATAAACTTAACTAATCCTCCCTCCCTCCCCATACCAAAGACAATAATACTATTAATAATAATAATCTATAAAAAAAAATATTAATCATATAAACAGCGCATCCAAAGTAAAAAATATCTAGAGTGGACTCGTATACTACTGAAAACCTCTGCGCAATACATAGTTTTAAAAAATTCTCTTCACAATCATAGGTTTACAAATGGTAGAGAAATTCTTGGTGATCCCCAACTCCTTCAGGCTCAGTGACGAAAAACACAACAGAGAGAAAGAATCGATTTAAAAATGGACACTTTCACGCCCAAAAGTTCGGGGCAACTCAAGTGAGAAAGTGATGGCTACTTTCACACCGGAAAACAAAAAAAAAAGGTTCTCGAGGCATCTTAAGTGATAAAGCAAAGGAGGGTTTTGAAATGTTTCTCCCCCACCACACAAATTACCTCCATGAAAATCATCTTTCCGCTTGAGAGAAGAGAAGGAGTTGAAGGCCACTGTAGTGATCAATTTCCTAGCAGTTACGACCCACCGGCTGCCTATCTCCGCCCGGAGGCCTTCGTGAGGTACGGTGCCGAGGAACTAACCATCCCCACCAGCAGCAGCAGAAGTAGAAGAAGAAGAAGAAGGAGGTGAGCCACAGTGATGCCCCCTCCCCAACTGTGTGTGTTCTATGATAAACAATCTTTACGTGTGAGGATTACTGTCCTCAATGTACAGCCTCGAGTAGACAAGGTGAAGGGGCTTGACCTTAGCATCATCAAAAATATCAAAGGTTTTTTAAAGAATCTTTTATCATGTGTGTGTGTTAACGAGTTAGTGTGTGTGTGTGTGTGTGTGTGTGTGTAGACTGTGCATGTGTGTGTGTGTGTGTCGGTGGTGGTGGTGGTGGCGACAACGGCAGCGCTGGTAAGCGAGTTTCAAATAGGAATCGTCAAATTTTATAATGTTTCCCTTATGTTTTTTTTTTTTTTTTTGCTCTTCTACGCCCCTAGACGATTTGTTAAAGAGTGTGTTTGTGCGTTTGTGTATGTCTGTGTATATCTGCTAGTTAAAAATTGTTGTAATTTTAGTACTAGTTTAAAAGACGGGGGAGAAAAATAACAAACACTATTAAATAATGAAAAAGACATCATTCATTCTCTTTCCAATTTATTTATTTTTTTCCTTCGGTGGATTTTGAGAACTACTCCCGGGCGGAGTTTTGGAAAGGTTTCGATAGGACGGCGGTGGAGATTCACAAGGGCTGGGGTAATGCAACTAAACATACTAGCTTAGACTCCTTATTAAATGCCTTGTTTGGTCACCACGCGCATCAAAAAACCCAAAATATATTATTATTTATTTATGAATTCAACGTAGAAGACTTTTGAACGCCCCACCTCCCCCCCCCCATTCCGCCAATTTGCGTATATATATATATATATTAATTTTGAACTACCAATTATGAGTTTGTGAACCTTAGTGCGAAATTATTATCATGGGTTTAAAAAAGTAATCATGGGTTTAATGTGAGATCAAGGGTTTTATGTGTGATCATGGGTTTAATGTGTGGTCATGGGTTTAATGTGTGATCATGGGATTAATGTGTGGTCATGGGTTTAATGTGAGATCATGGGTTTAATGTGTGATCATGGGTTTAATGTGAGATCATGGGTTTTATGTGTGGTCATGGGTTTAATGTGTGGTCATGGATTTAATGTGTGATCATGGGATTAATGTGTGGTCATGGGCTTAATGTGTGGTCATGGGTTTAATGTGAGATCATGGGCTTAAAATGTGGTCATGGATATAATCTGTGATCATGGGTCTAATGTGTGAGCATGGGTTTAATCTGTGATCATGGGTTTAATGTGTGAGCATGGGTTTATTGTGTGATCATGGGTTTAATGTGGGATCATGGGTTTAATGTGTGATCATGGGTTTAATGTGAGATCATGGGTTTAATGTGTGATCATGGGTTTAATGTGGGATCATGGGTTTATTGTGTGATCAGTAGTTTTAAATTGTGCGCATGGGTTTTAATTCTTGGTCATACGGCTCTTTAACTCTTGTTCACACGGCCCTTTAACTCTTGATCACAAGGCCCTTTAACTCTTGATCACGGCTCTTTAACTCTTGATTATGGCTCTTTAACTCTTGATCACGGCTCTTTAACTCTTGATTATGACTCTTTAACTCTTGATCACGGCTCTTTAACTCTTGATCATGCTGGTCTATAACTCTTGATCACGGCTCTTTAACTCTTGATCACACGGCTTTTTAACTCATGATCACACGGCTCTTTAACGCTTGATCACACGGCTTTTTAATTCATGATCACACGGCTCTTTATCTTTGACTATTGATCACAAGGCTCTTTATTGTCAACACGGCTCTTTAACTCTTGATCACACGGCTCTCTTGACACGGCTCTCTGATTCTGATCACACGGCTCTCTCTAACTCTTGATCACACGGCTCTTAACTCTTGATCACACGGCTCTTTAACTCTTGATCACACGGCTCTCTAACTCTTGATCACGCGGCTCTTTAACATGCCTCCCGTATCTTTATTTGTGTAACTCTCTGCTTGTGTTAAACATCGCTGTACATACGGGTATTTCGCTTCCTCAATAATTATCGGTTTCTCCTACACTTGCAGTATTTTAAGGAATATCTCTTGTTGATAGTTTAGTAGACACGTAAACGTTGTTGTTAGGCATTTGAACTTTTGATTTTATACCTATCACATATATATATATAAATATATCATATACATATACATATATGAACTCGCTTTCATTACAAAGAAGATTATCAAGCAAGCTCAATTGCTTTACTGGGAAGAGGAGACTGCTAGCCTGCTGTTCTCCTCTACTCACTTCTCCTGACCTGTTATGAATTGTGTCGACCGCTGGTATCAGTTGTTGAGTTGTTTGTCTGTCATTATTATTATTATTATTATTATTATTATTATTATTATTATTATTGAACTACTAAACTGATCTGTAAATATGACCCCCTACCATGCCACAGTCTCGCTCTCACTCATTTGTAAATTTTTGATAATCAGTTATTTTTACCCTCAAGGAATAAGTGGGAAGTTATACACCCATTAATTCTTGCTCACTCGGGTGGTGGCGGGAGGTGACCTGTTTTGGATGGGGGTCATATACTTACCAAGTGCGGTGTTATGTGTATTTGGACAAGAAGGTCTTTCACTTATTTTGTGTACTACATTCTCCGTACATGATTACTGTTGAACTTAAGACATGTACTCCTGTTTGGTCAGTGCGGCGCTGTGCTCACATTACCTGTATACTCTTTGTTTACTTTTAAGTCGTTCTTGGAAAACCTTGTGTTGGTATTTGTAAATCTCAATGTTTCTCTATTAAGACCCTATTGTCTCTTTTTCTGTAGTTCTCAGCCATCCCCGGAGAAACAAAACAACATATATTACTGCCAGTTGTATTATCCACGATGAAACGACTCTTGTGACAATATTAGTAACGGCAGGAGGTGTGTGGAGCCTACAGCTGGAGTGAGCGTTTTTTGGTTGTTAATAACTATAAGCACAGGACGGTAGAATACAGTAAAGCAATTTTGACTTCTTGACAGACTGTACCATTAAAAAAAACGGATGGTTGCCTTATGTGCATGTATAGAGTGGTACCCGGGTAATGAACGTTCATCAGACACGAAATAATTGAAGCCACAGCCACGACCCAGAAACAGTGACCTCTGGTGTACGCGAGGCTGTAGACGCAGGCCGATATATCTGCTGTAGACACATGAATCATTGGACTCTTAGATGAAATTAGTCAACTCTAAATCCAAAACCAAACACTGCTGAGTGAAACTACACGAGTGAGAAAAATGGTAGAAATTTTTGTTCATACCGGTGATAACATAACGAAAACTAGTACTAGTACCCCCATGAACATGAGTGAGTGGCCTCCCTCGGCGGGTACACTTGCTGCCAACAAGAGGCATCTATGGCACCATAACTGTGATAGTGACATTCGACTGTCAGCTGACGTGTGGAGAGGCACAATTTCTTCTTCTTCATGTTTTCTCTTGTTAGAAAAACAATGGGCCCGCCACCTTTAACAGACCAGACCGTAAATCTGAAAAAAAAATGGAGAAGAAAATTGGTTCTGTCGATGATTTTTCTCAACCTTGTGATTGTATAACGACACTCTGTAAAGGCTGGGTCCCAGTTAGTTGTATATGTAATATTTCTTCTACCTTATAATTTGTCGTCATAACGATATAATGGTAAAGAATGCTTTACAAGACTCGGGCATGGCAGTTCCTGGACCCAGCGCGCAGCCGCCTCGACCCCTCGAGACGCGCGCTGCGCTGCTGGGGTTCAACAAGGGGACGCCTAAGCCACCTTGACAATCCTGTATGTAAAGGGTTAGGATATAATTGCTACTGTTACTTAGTATTAGTTATTTAATGAAAACTAGTTACACGAGCTCACGAACCTATCATACTAACATTAATTAAACAATTGTTATTACATTTGTTTTTGCTTTTGGAACGGGTGCTTTCTATAAGGTAGTTTTCTAGTTATCGCGACTCATCCAGTGGCAGGAAACACTATATACTCAGTCTGCGACCGCTCTTTGAACCCCTTACTTCGTTGTCCCTCTTCCTGGTTGGGGAAGACCCATGTGTATACCTTGAAAGTCGCAGCAGCAGCTGCAGCAGCTGCGTACAGCAGAGATGGAACAACTGTAGCAGCGGTTGCGGCTGACGGGCGACTCTCATAAAGATTTGCTGTTTGTCAAAGCTCTTGTCATATTACCTGAGTAAGGCAGGACTGCAGTATTACTGATTTCTCTTGCCGGGTCTGCTTCCTGGTGCTTGCAGCGCGATCGAAACACTAGTTTGTTCCGGAGACCAAATATCTTACCACCACCAAGACTCCTTAACGTTAAGCTGCCTCGTCGTGGCACAACTCATCACACATTGATTATTATAGTCATAAATTTTTTGATATTGCTAAACAGATTACATCCAGGTTGTGTTATTGTTATATAATAAAACTGAACATGAGCTACGCATGAGCCTCGTCTCCTGATGTATGTCATACATCAAACAGTTTTTCATAACGGAACATCCAAGCGTTAGCCAATGGTTACTGAGAGCCCCGGGTGACGCGCCGTAGGGGGAGGAGAGCTACTCCTCATCCCCTGCGGTGCTTCACCCGGGGGTCTTCTCCTCCTTGTTCATTATGAGTAAGCTAGACGTGTTCTTCTGTTATTATTATTATTCACTGTGAATAAACCACTTGCGCCAGGACATCCACCTATACATAATTAGATCCAAGTCTGCACCCTCTCGCGACGATACCTCAACCAAATCTGTTCCATTCCATCATTTTCAAGAGTTTATCAATGTACATCATGATGTAACATAAGTCTCGACCTGTTAATTCCCTCAAAACTACAAAATCTAGAAAGTGATTCTCCTGAAATATGCTTAAAATATGTAAATATATAAATATATACATTATTAGTCCTTTTAAATAAACCAAGGTCTTGCGGTCATCTCCGTGTGCCACATAGTAGTTGAGAAGACGAATCTACTTCACCCTTATGCTCAAGGACGTCAGAGGTCAAGTTAAGGCATACTTGTGGCTACTTCTTCTCGGGAACGATTCTTGTCTTGAGAGAATGATCGTCTTCCAGGAGGGCATGAAGGCCGACAAGCTAAGCCTCCAGACACTCTTCGTCAAAAAATACAGGGTGGAACCGCGGCTGTACCTGGTTTCTTTTGTCAGTCTGTGTGTCGTGTTTTAGAACTGTATAGGGATGGAATGCTGAAGTTGTTAATGGAAACTAATAATGGATGTTGTTGTTGAAGATACAGTGGAGGTTGTTGGAGATACAGTGGAGGTTGTTGGAGATACTGTGGAGGTTGGTGGAGATACAGTGGAGGTTGGTGGAGATACAGTGGAGGTTGGTGGAGATACAGTGAATATTGGTGGAGATGCAATGGATGTTGGTGGAGATACAGCTGTTGTTGGTGGTGGAGAAACAACAGATATTGGTGGAGATAAAATGAGTGTTGGAGGACATGGAGTAGGTGTTAGCGGAGAGATAGAGAAGGGGAGAGAAAGAGAAGAGAGAGAGAGAGAGAGAGAGAGAGGGAGAGAGAGAGAGAGAGAGATGAAAAAAAATGAGAAAGACCCCACGAGACTATATACCGGAAGAGGAGAAGGAGGGGGAGGAGGTGGAGGGGAAGAAGGAAGAGTAGTAATAGGAGGAGGAGGAGAAGGAAGGACTCAAAGGAGGGGATGAAGGATGAGGAGGAGGAGAAGAGTGACAATGGAAGGAAAGTGTGTTGGTTAGTTGATTGGTTGGGTTAGTTGGTTGGGTTTGGTTGATTTGGTTAGTTGTGATGATGGACCTGGCA